TCTTCAGCCCCAGATTCTTCATCTTCTTGGACCCTCCTTTTCCTCTTTTTTAGTAATGTTTCTAAATTTTGATGTTTTATGTATTTATGGTTTTAATGTTTTGTGCGAGTCACCCAGAGTCCCCCACTGGGGGGAGATGGGCGGGGGAGAAATTTAATAAAATAAATAAATAAATAAATGTTTCTCTTCATAAATAACTCTTTAAGCTAAAGTTATTTCAAAGAGAAAGAATAAGGTAAAGTTCATAATATGCTCTAGTATTAAAGGTGTGAAGTATCTATTCTAGATACTATTCTAGGCTAAACTATATGCCTAGTTCCTAGAAAAAGATTGTTACCCCCTTTTCTTAGACAAATGCTTCCAGTGCAGTTTAAAAGATCAATAGTGTAACAGTCTTGTCATCAGATTTACAATCTAAAAGATATGGTACACAAAGAAAAGGAAGGGAGAGCGGGTAAAGTTATATTTCTTACAATGATTTACTGGTAGAAACAGTTCATCTTGAATGATGACATGGCTGTTACTGAGTAACAGTTGAGTGAAAGCAAAAAACAGATGGCTGGTTAGCATAGGGGATAGAATAGTCCTGCTTTTCTTCCTTCCTTTTGGTCTGCATGCTGTTGAGATCATTTCCCATTTCATCGTCAAAATTTCTACCCAATCATACATATCCTGGAATAATAAATATCCTGGAATCACAGTGAAAGGAAATGTTTCTAGTGTAGCTAACTGCAGTTTCTAGGGTCATGTGGTCAATCCTGAGTATGGTTTATTTAATGAACCTGCAGGAGAGACTAAGATACGAAGTTGGCTTTTTGAATAATAAGACTAACCTTGTTGAGGTTAACACAGTAATATTATACTTCATTTAGTTATAAGCAGAAAAGCTTCCAGTCTCCATTTAGTATAAGTAGTCCTTGACTTATGACCATTTGTTTAGTGACCGTTCAAAGTTATGACTGCACTGAAAAAAGTGACTTGCCACCAGTCCTTGCACTTTCGACCATTGCAATGTCCTCACAGTCACGTGATCAAAATTTGAGTGCTTGGCAACCAGCATGTATTTACAATGGTTGCAGTGTCCTGGGGTCACGTGATTGCCATTCGCAACCTTGCAAGCCGGCTTCCGACAAACAAAATCAATGGCAAACTGCGTGATTCACTTAACAATGCATGATTTGCTTAATGACCATGGTGATTCAAAAAAAATGTCATAATATTGGATGCAGTCATGTGATGCCTCACTTAATGACCATACCACTTAATGATGAATTTTTCAGTCCCTATTGTGGACTGTCTGTATGCCACTGGAGGAATGTGGAAGGAGAATTTAAGGACCCACAGTTTGCTCAAGTTCATTCAGATAAAGTCCTTATGTGTATTTGCTTTTTTTATGTATTAGGAGGTCCTTCACAAAAGGCTTAGACAGCAGCGATTCTGGTGAAGTAGCTGATGAAAAGAAAAAAAGAGATTCTCGGAAAAGTGGCTTTCTTAATTTAATCAAACCTAGATCCAAATCTGAACGTCCTCCAACTGTGTTAATGCCAGAAGAGTCTTCATCTCCCAGAGGTATTGTCAAAGGCTCCACTGTGGACACTGCAAAGAAGGATTTGAAGTCAGCTGAACAAAATGGCACTCTTGAAAAAACTGAGGAATTAAAAACACCAGATTCAACAGAAGAGGTTCCTTTGGAGGACATTTCAAAGCTTGAAAAGTGTGACAGCAAAGGCAGTCCTCAAGGAGGACGTAGGTATGGGGTGCAAGTGATGGGCAGTGGCCTTCTTGCAGAAATGAAAGCCAAACAAGAACGGAGAGCTGCATCAGCACAGAAGGTGAGGGATATTTTCATATTAATATGACTTTTCACAAGAAGATGATTCTTGTTATAATATTATTTACAATAAAATGGCCAATATTGGAGATCATCTTGAACCATTTTATATCAATGATTGAGATTTTCACTAAGAAAATCTGCAGCAGAATCTATTTTTAAATGTTTAATTAAATAAATTAAGCTACTGAAAAAATTCAAATCCATGTAGAAACAAGAGGGAGGGAGGGGATAGCTCTCTCAGAGTTATGCCTAGCTAGGTTTCAAGTGTGGCATCAGCCAAGATCCTGGGGCAGGGGTGGAGGTGTAGTGATTTTCATCCAGGAATCTTTTACAGTGTTCAGGAGCGCTGCACCACAAGTCACCGGATGTGAGACCCTGCTCATTAAGTTGGGCTCTAGGGATCAATTGGGTTTGCTGCTGTTGTACCAGCCTCCCTGCTGCACAGCACCTTCCCTGCCTGAGCTCCTTGACACCATTTCTGGGTTGGCAGTGGAGTTCCCCAGACTTATGGTCTTGGAGGACTTCAATCTCCCTTCTCTAAGGATGGGGTCCGAGGTGGCTCAGGAGTTCATGGCTACCATGACATCCATGGGCCTATCCCAAATCATCCAGAGTCCAACATGGGACAGTGGCGTTCCTGTTGGAGCAATGGCTATGTCATCTGAAATTGGGGGAGCTTTTGGTGTCCCCCCCTTGTCATGGTCGGATCACGTCCTGATTATGATGGGATTCCCTAGCGCCACTATCCACTGCAGGGAGGCTGGACCCATTCGATTGGTCCATCCCTAGTGACTAATGGACCCAGATGGGTTCCAGTGGCAGCTGGGGTTTATTCCTGCTGGTCTGCTGCACGACCCATCCAAAGCCTTGGTTGCCACTTGGAATAAGGGGCTGGCTGAGGCTTTGGATTGGATTATGCCCATGCAACCTCTCTTCTCTCAGGGATCCTGGCACTCTCCATGGTTTACAGCAGAGCTGAGAGAGAGGAAGTGAGATAAGAGACATCTAGAGCATTGCACTCGATGAGAGACGAACTTGAGCAAACTCGGGTTAGAGCTGCTATTGAGGTCTCTCTAGTGGCAATAAGGGTGGTGAAGCATCATTACTCCTCCACTTTTATTGCATCCACAGATAGCCACCCCACAGCCCTGTTTTGGGTGACACAAGCCCTCCTGGGTAAGGATGGCTTGGACAACCTTCTGCAGGGGCATGCAGAGGAATTTTCCCAGCATCTGTCAGATAAAATTGCTCAGATTCATTGTCAGCTGGACACTGGCTTTGCTGCAGACCCAGTGGAGATGCCTAGGGAGGAGTCTTGTCCTGTTATCTGGGAATGGTTTGAAACCTGTTGGACCTGAGGAAGTGGACAGGGTCCTTAGGGCTGTGAGCTCAGCCACCTGCTCTTTAGATCCATGCCCTTCCTGGCTGGTTAAAGCAGCTTGGGGGGGTGTTGTACGAGTGGGTCCTAGCAATGGTTAATGTTTCCTTGAGTTAGGGGGTTGTTTGTTCATCTCTTAAGGAGGCTGTGGTTTGCCCCCTCCTCAAGAAGCCATCACTGGATCCCACTATGCTGAACAATTTCTGTCCACTATCTAACCTCCCCTTTTTGCAGTAGGTGATTAAGAAGGTGGTTGTACCACAGCTTCAAAGAACCTTGGATGAAGTGGATTATCTGGATCCCTTTCAGTCAGGATTCAGGCCTGGGTATGGGACACAAACAGCACTGGCTTTTGGATGATCTCTGGCAAGGGCAGGATAGGGATTATGCATTTATCCTTGCCCTACTTGACCTCTCTTCAGCTTTCGATACCATCAACCATGGTATCCTTCTGGATCGGCTCAGAGGATTAGGGGTGGGCGGCATGGTGTTGTGCTGGTTCACCTCCTTCCTCCGGGGCTGATTCCAGTCTGTGGTGGTTAGGGAGGAGATCTCCTGCCCTCGGCCCCTGTTATGTGGGATGCTGCAGGGTTCGGTACTCTCCCCCCTCCTATTTAACATCTACATGAGGCCACTGGGTTAGCTCATCCGTCGCCATAGGCTGAGGTATCATTTGTATGCTGATGATACCCAATTATGCATCTCTGACCCTAGAAAATTAAACAATGCTGTGAATGTCTTATCCCAGTGCCTGGAGTCTGTGAGGGTCTGGATGGGGAACAACAGGCTTCAGCTGAACCCTGGCAATACTGAGTGGCTTTGGGTTTTGGGACCTTCTGGTTCAAGGACCATGCCATCTTTGGTGCTGGATGGAGTGGCACTGCCCCAGACAGACCCTGTGCACAATCTGGGGATCCTCCACTCACAATTCCTATTTAAAGAGCAGGTGGCAGTCATGGCACCGCTTCTTATTGTGCACCAGTTGCACCCGTTCCTAGATCAGGGGGCTCTGCTCACTATCACTCATGCCCTAGTCATCTCCTGTTTGGATTTCTGTAATGCACTCTACATCTGGAAGCTTCAGCTGGTGCAAAATGCAGTGGCGCAGGCAGTTATGAGCATGGCACATTACACCTCTGCTCTGGGAGCTGCACTGGTTGCCAGTTCGCTTCCGGGTCCAATTCAAGGTGCTGGTTTTGACCTTTAAAGCCGTTCATGGCATGGGGATGGAGTATCTGAGGGACCGCCTCTTCCCGATCACAGCTGCCTGCACCATCACATCTGGCAGAGAAGGCACGCTGCAGGTCCTGTCTGCCAGGGAATTACATTTGGCGGATCCCAGGAGGTGGGCCTTCTCTGCCATGGCACCCACCTTGTGGATTCTTCTCCCCCCAGAAGTAAGATTAACTCCATCCCTCTCAACATTCTGCAAGTCCCTCGAGACCTGGCTATGTTATCAGGCCTTGGGGCCTCAGGGGACCAGGGAGATTTTGCAATGACTCCCTTATTGTGGTTAATATCATCCTCTCTGTTTTGTAACTTTTATAATTATTTTGTAATTATGACTGTTTTTATGTATTTATTGTTTTAAATTAAGTTCTGTATGCCGCCCAGAGTCACTTTTATGTGAGATGGGCAGCTACTGTATATAAATATGATCAATCAGTCAATCAATCAAAACCATAAGAATTTACTATTTGATGTATGACCTAATGTAGTGTTACTATGCTTACAGATGATGCTCCATAGATGAAAGATGGCAAGTGCAAGTGCTAAATGCCGTGTATGTGTGTGTTTCCTCTGAATTAGATGTGTGAATTGGCATAAGTGTTGCAGATAAATGAACATGAATTAATAATCCATCTGAGCAAACATGTAGTGGTGATCTTGCTCCATCTAGTGTTTGATGAACTAAATATTAACTCCAGAAACAAATGCCATGTAAATGAGGCTATATAGAATAGATTAATTAGCACATCAAAGGATTAAAATTAAGTACTATCTACCAGGAGAGAGTCAGCCTAATATATTTTATATGCTAAGAAAATTTTATACATACAAAATTTTCTTGGCATATAAAATATATATATTCCACTTTTCAGTGTGTGTGTCTGTGTTCCACTTTTCGGTCCATGCAGCATTCAACATAAATACACAATTTATTTTTTGTTTTTATTTGTTACTAATAGTATTGTTGCTCTTAGGATGGAAGATTGTAGGAGTGTTTCAGGCTAGAGCAAAGCTTTCAAAGCAACCTCTTACCAAGGGATTTTGACTAGACATCCTATGATACATGAGTATTATATAAACATGGGACTACTGAAATGGGGCTATTGTGTCAGTAATAGGAGCATACTGTTCAGAAGAGCTGTTAAAGCCACATAAAACTGACCACACAGGAGATGTTGATCTAAAGCAGACAAGAGGTTTCATAAACCATACAGGCGTTTTGATAATCAGTCTGCAACCTACCTCGTACAATAATAACCTCTTACATGGGATTTTAACTATGATACTAGGATTACAGTGTGATATTATCATGCATAGAAGTACCTTTCATGTTGGTGCTTTATTTTTTTGGTAAAATGCATGAACAAAAACATCTGAACAAAAGTTTACCAGCATTTTCCTACAAGTGCTATTATTTTCTGATAAAGAATATGCAGAAGTATAGATATGCTGCTAGATTTGGATTAATATTTATGTCGCTTAGTCACATTTACCTCAAGGTAGCTTAAAACCAATCACTGCTAATGGAGCAACAGAAAGCAATGGTAATACTTTCTATTAAACATTAATTGATTATTATTAAGTAAAACAGTAAACTTGCAAAAACAGTTAAGAAGCCTCAATACTTCAAAATTGTTCAGGAAAACAGACAGATTTGTGAGGTCCTTGGTGCTCTCTGAGCTTGGTTGTTTATTTGCAGACCTTGCAAACCTTATCTGTGATAAGCAGGGATTAACACCAAACAGTCAGGTAGAAACCAATGCCTTATTCGAGGAACTACCAAGGAGAAAACCACACCCCCACCAAAACTGGCAGGGCAAGCTACTGTATATAAACAGGGAGCAAACCCCACACTCACTGATGAGGTTACCTACTTGGGTAATGAAACATCTGCAAACAAATAACCAAGCTCAGAGAGCACCAAGGATTCCACAGTTCAGCCTTGAGCTACTTATATTCACTTCTATTGGAACAGACAGATTTCTCCTGTAATTTGAAAGATAGTTGAATAGGCAAGAGATCCATATGTCTGTAGAAAGGAATCTCCCATCACTACTTTATCAGAAGTTGGGAAAACATAGAAGTAGATTTAAGTGGAAGACAGGTTTGTAAATAGAGCCATTAAGGGATCCTTTAAGATAATTATTCCCAAAGCTTTAGAGCATTAAATGTTAAGAACAACATTTTGAAACCAGAAATAAACTACCAACTAATTTAGCTCTTTTAATTTCAACATGATATTTTGTGTATAGTAGAGCTTCAGTTAACAATCTGAATGTCCGGTCCCAGCAGGAATTCCAACCCCTCTTCAAAGTTAGTGCCATGTAGTGCTTTATTACATCATTTTAATTTAATACAATTCTGAGTTTTAAGATATATAATACTCAAGTCTTGTTGAATTTGCAGTCTGCAGTTTGGAAAGAAGATATTTAATTTTAAAATGTCCTGTTTGTTTGTTTGTTTGTTTGTTTGTTTGTTTTAAAGAAATTTGTGAATGATGTAAGAGACTCAACAGATCTCTCTGTGAATTCAGAACGACTGGATGGAGCTGGTGAGTAACTCCAGACTATTCTGTATTCTTTAAGGCTAGTAAAATCATCTTTAAGGCTAGTAAAATTAAACTGCACCAACACCTTTAAACTTCCTAATATTAATATATTAAATCTTATTTAGACATTCAGAATGAATTTTCAAGGCATAAAAAGTGCAGGAGATTGATGAAACACTCATGTTCCTAAATCTAAAGCACAAGGTCTGCATGATTGTAATTATACCATCTCTCATTTAAATCAGTTTCCATTCCAGTTCCTGATCACATGACTGTGGGGACGCTGCACTGGCCACAACTTTGTGAATAAAACTGGTCTGAAAATTGTGGAAATTTCAGTTCCACAGGAGTAATGGGTCCTCTATTTTTTTATGCATTTTTTAAGTTCGCAGATTTTAGGTACCTTGACTCAAAAATTGTTGCAGTATAATGCACCGTTTGGGCTAACTTGAGGGTACAAACAAACACAATAAGAGTTTTAGTAGTATATAGATTGCCAGTCCCCCATCTATCCTCCATACACTGTTTCTCCATACAGTTACAGAGGGTGGAAATTTTTTATATTAAAGCTGACAGTGCCCTTGATCTCTGTGTTTGTTCCCTGGTTCATTTTGTTTCAGTAACAAAACTTCATCATCCTTCTCCAGAAAATCAGTTTGCTCTTAATAGGGATGACTCTATCACAGTCTTGACAGAAAAAAATTCAAAAGCTGAACCAAAGATAGAAATTGGAGCTAGGACAAAAAGTTCTTCTAGCACACCTACCAGTCCAAAACCTCCACTACAGACAACAAAGCCCACCCTAATAGGACGACCAACAGTTCCTCAGAAGCCAAGGTCTGCCTCTCGGACAGGTGAGATTATTTTAATATTGCATCAATCCTAACACTATGGCTTGTGTATGGAAAATTAATAATTAAAATCCTGAGGAGATAATTTTGGAAAGCAAAGCCTGGGGGCAGCAGGGGCAGCATATTATTCAGTTTTAACTAGTCTCTTTTGTGCTAGAAACTGGATTTCAGTGGTAAAGTATAAAAGACTTAATACTGATGTACTTTATATACTAATTAGTAATTTATTTAGCAGTACCGTTTAACTGTCCCCGGGATTCCAACATTTCCCTTCTATATTTCTTTTAATTGCTAAATATTAAAATACTGGCATTGGTTTTAAACCTTTTTTAAGCTTAACTGGGACTATTACAACCTTTAAACAGTTGAGATCAAATTGCCTGAATATGTTTCTGAGTGAAATTTAAGGTGCTAATTTAAAGCCCTGGAGGGTTCAGGGTTTAGATATCCATGAGATTTACTTTCCCAGGTAGATTCTGCCCACCCATTCCATACAAAGAAAGACTACCTGTTGAAGATCCCCACTTACCAGGAAGTGCTATGGGGAGGGACCATGAAAGCAGGCATTGTCCGTGGGGTTTCCAAGGTTCCTTTCCCAAATCAGGTCACTTCCACTCTCATGGCTTTCTAAAAGCTAGTGGAAACTTGGCTGTTTCAGTATCTATAACAGCTGTCAAGAAGATCAGAAGCCACTTCTTTTGAAACTTTCCTTTCCTTTCCTTTCCTTTCCTTTCCTTTCCTTTCCTTTCCTTTCCTTTCCTTTCCTTTCCTTTTTTTTTTCTTTTCTTTTTTCTTTTTTCTTTTCTTTTTTTTTTCTATTTCTTTTTCTATATTTCTTTTTCACCTTCTCGTTACTTTTCTTTATTCTTCTTTAATTCAAATTTTGAACTGTTTTTAATTCTGTTGAAAAACTTCTTCAATAAAATTATTTAAAAAAAAGAAACTTGGCTGCTTCAGAAAGATCTTCAGAGTAACACAAGTAATTACATCTTTTTGGCACAGTTAGATGAATGGATGTAACAGATAATGTTTTTATTGGATTCATGATTGCATTGATATTGCATTGCTGTTGCTCATACGTACACCATTTAGACTGGGGATAGTTTATACACTTTATAAAAATATATATAAATTATTGTGTTGATATAATTCAGTATTCCAAATATTCATTAAATGTGACAAAGTTTCAGTTGCCATATCATGTTGTATTTAGAAAGGGAGGTCTTAAATGTAGTCAATATACAGTAGTTATTGTCCAGTTAATTGCTTCTATTATTTGGGGGAAAAAATCCTTGGGGGTATTAAATATCTCAAAAGATACCACTTCCTAGTAGACCTGAATCTAAGTTCATCAAAAACAGATTAATCATAGGAACATAGTCATTTTGCCTGAGATACCAAGAGGGAGCAAAATTGATTGATCAGAGATGTCACTCCTGACATGAACAAAAGAGGATGACAGTAGAAAATCACAGCACCTTTTGTCTGGCCTAATAGGATTTTGCAATATAGCTTCATTTGAATATATATTATGCCCACATAGATAACACATGGGTAACCATGTATTTTTTTCTACCATGTTAACATTTCATGCGTTGAGAATGAAATATGTTTTTTTCATTAAAAACTGAATGTGGAACTTGCTGCCTGGTCTGTCTGTGCTGTGTTCTTTTAAGCAGTTTTCTTTCAGACTATTTAGAGTTGATTCAGCGTGGTTATGTGGAGAGCTTGGCATGTTTTACTTTTTTCATATAGGACAGATATATAGACTGCTGGCTGTCTCATTTAAGTTGACCCCTATTCACACTGACGATATTTATGTACAATGGCTGTACTAATATTAGTAATGTATGTGTACAATGAATTGGCCTGACTGGTTTACACTTGGGGGTTTATGCTACTAAATGTAATTATCAGGTGTTGGAGCCATAAACAATAGTTGTTTTCAGTTTTGTATTAGTTCCACTATCATTATGTTTAGGCAATACACCAAGTGCATTGATGGCTGTACAGCTTTAAATTGGATTTATCTTTCTGATGTTTCCACAGATGATGTCCCAGAGTCTCAGTCCAGTCCAGGTTCCCCTAAAATTGCCCTGCTTCCTCCTGTTTTGAAGAGAGTCCCTTCTGATAAAGAAAAAGATAGTCAAAGTAGCCCTCAGCCAGCTCTCAGATCTCTTTCACATGAAGGTAGGAATGTTACTATATTTTCCTGGTATCCTTTTCTGATGTAACTTTTAATGTCCGAACTTACTGGAAAACAATCATTCATAGCTATATCTATGATCAGCATTTCACCTTAGTGATTCGTATATTTCTATACATTGATGGCACAGAGAAAGGGTACTTTTGCACATACCCTCCATTTGACTTCATACCCCTGTCTTTTATTTATTTATTTATTTATTTATT